GTGATTGTAATGTGTGCACATCATCTGTGAGTGTGTTGCACTTAATCAACGGAGACTGGAGATAATCAAAAACACTCCATCCATCATCACAACGGTGCGTTTTAAACATCTAAGACGGGATGTGTGGACAGAATATGTTTACTCAGCGGAGGACGAACGCCTTCTGCATCCACCTGGACTGATTAAAAAGGGGCAGCAGCTCAGACTGGGGGGACTTGGTTTGTGAACCGGAGCGGTTCAAGTCCAAGTACAGAGTGTAGACTGGTAGCTGGAGAGGTGACCAGTTCACCGTTGAGGTACAGTAGCTGTCCATCATGCTAGGATGGGTTAAATGCAGAGGCTAAATCTCACCACATTGTGCTTTGCTGTGTACGATGGTGTGATTCTAAAAAGTGGATTGAGATTTACAACAGAGAATGACAGCAAAGGACTACATGTTCCAGAAAGAGGTGTAATGTGTGTTCATTGAAGTGTTTTATGTATTTAACTTCATAATACATTGTATTTTAGTTCATGTATGACCAAACAGAGAAGTTTATCCTTCTTGGCTGGTTCAAGGAATATTTTCAGCACCCATAAATAACTTTTGTAGATGAAAACAGCAACATTTCTGCCGACATTAAATTCAGTACATTTTCATTTGAGGACCACATTCACCCAAAATCTGGATACATGTATATTATTTATCATTCAGACCGTGGTATGAACTAGAAGTCCACTATAAGCCATGCAGTTCAGATCAACACAATGCATGAAGGTGCTACTAGCCTACATCTAGCGTGACTACAGTTTATTTGCTTGTTGATGTTTACTCAGTATATATTAAGTATACAGTACTGTGTATTCCCTCTTGATTATAAAGAATCTTGAAGATTTAATCACATGACCATCGCAAATTCTACATTCTGATTCGCTGGAAAATATGGATAAACCTTTAGTGACCGCACGGCATAATCAGACATCTATGACACCGGCGTTTGCTGTTCTATATGAATGCATCAGCATGAAACATAGCTTAAAGCCACGGCTTAGCTATAGATCATGGAGCTGGGGTTATTTTAATGACTACCACCTCCACCATTGCCAACAACGAAATGACAAAAGAGCTTTGAAATGAGAACCACGTAAATTGAATTTCAAATGTCTGCTATTTTTGTGAATGTGGAGTTCCACCTCAACTAATGGTTGGCAGAGGAAAGAGAGGGAACGTGACCAAAACCAGAAAGAAAAGGAAGACTAACTAAAGGTACTTTTTAATTCCTGTGAACTGAACCTTTTAATGATTTTTCTCCACATAATTCTTTTCACTTTTCACAACCATTACTTAGAACACCGTTTGCTAAAAACATTAAGTGCAGACGTGGCGTACAGATTCGACCTGCAAGTCTTCTGCTCACAACATGCTCAAGTGGTAAGCTCTAAAGCGTGTTTGGCCCAAAGGCATTTGAGTTTATGGCCAGCCACCTGAGATAAATGAAAGGAAAGGTATGGAGTGGTAACCAGTCTGCCAACAACATTTAGCCTTTTCTCTTTCTACCACTATTTAACTTGAGAACTTGTGATATTCTGTGTTGTAAAGGAATGTTGTTTTTCTTTTTGCTATGTATGCATATATTTTAAAATAAAGCATATTCTCAAAACTGTCCCTCGTGCACACAAGCAATTGATAGAAAACTGTATTACCCCGTGTATTTCTACCAACCTAGCCCATAATGCTCAAAGGATCTGGACTAACAGTGTCTGACCTGAGGCAGTAAATGATGGCTGCACAGGGACCTCAGCATATGTAGGATGATTAACAATCACATATGCTGCTTCTTACACCAACTCTTGTTTTCATTCATTTGTGCTGCATGATAAAGAGAACCATCACCACAGCAGTTTGCAAATGAATTGTGAGTATGTTTCAGTGTGAAGACGAGACACACACAAACATATTAATCACAACCGTGTCCCTGTGTGTGTGTGAACAGCACCTGCGAAGGCATGGATGCTATTGCACAGATGGATGAAAAAGAGGTGTGAAAAGAAGCTAAATCTCAAAGCTGTCCGAGTGCCATCGACGGATTGCAAGAAAGGAAAAAAAAACAGCGTTGAAAAATGTGAATGGGACCAAAGACATCTCATCCAGGGAAGTTGTCAAACATGGCAGCAGGTATTCTATATGACCTTACACTGAGGGGATTGCTAAGGCAGGGGCACGACCATCACTGCTACATGTTCCAGTGGTTTGGACTGTTGCCTCACAGCCAGAAGGACCTGGGTTTGAACACGACCCGGCCGCCCGGGAACTCTCTATGCGGTTCAAAAACATGCAGGGTATGTGAAGTGGATATTGCTGTTAGGTGTGAACGTGTTAGTCAGTCTATCTGTGTCAATCCAGACAAATGTTCCAGCTCCTCATGACCCTGAATAGGATAAGTGGGTCCAGCAGATGTCATTTGATCGTGTTAAACTAGTCAAAGTTTAAAACTAGAGATGCCAAATCTGGCCATGGCCATGAAGTGTGTGTGTGTGTGTGTGTTTGTGTTTTTACAAGCTGCGTCGCTGTCACAACTGCTAAACACTAACTAATATTGGCTACGATGGACAACTGGTTGGTTCTGGATCTTACATTTTTAAGTAATGTCGAAAAATTATTAAAATATTTCTGTCAGAACACAAGTGAAGTAGCATAACAGCCTACATCTGACCGAGCTTTAACCATAGAAGTGACTGATCAGAAAACATCATCTTCACAGACATGCATTTGGAAAGATAATGACAGATGAATTGTTATGTTTTCAGAACTTGCCAACCTGTTGTCACTCCCAACGGATCCACTAACGCAGCTTGGTCAGTGCTTATTTAGTGCATGCATGCGGCGCGCACACCAGCAGCATTATGGACGGAGCAACTGACGTGGTATGAAGAGCGAGACAGTCCCCACAGGGCTGGTGGATAAAACATAGGATCATCGTTCATGAGACCAATGTTCGTGTCCTAATGCAAAACTAAAACTGAATTTGATATTTTGTTAGATCAGTAATTAGTCACGAATGTTGTCATGAAAAAAATAATGTAATTGTGTGGAGTGTGTGCGAGCATGTGTGTGCATGTGAGAGTAAGCGGGTGCTTGTGTTTGTTCAGGGATGTTGGTTTATACACCTGCAGTAACTCATAAGCAACGGCAATGCTACAAGTCTCTATGAGTGAAACAACTATAAATGTAATATAACAGTTAAAACAAGAAAGACATGAACACTAATACATAAAAAAAACTGTTATAAAACAGCAATTAGATTTTCTTTTAGGCATCTTTTGAAACATTTTATAGAGGGACATTCTTTTGTTCGGTGGGAAAAGTCATTCCATAATTTGGTTCCCTAAATCTTATTGAAAGTTGACCTCTGCTAGTCTGTAACTTAGGAGGATGAAGATGTGAAGATTGAGGAGTTGAGTAAGAGTGAACCTGTGAATTGGATTTATAGTAGATCTTGAAATGATGAGGAATATTCCTTCACCTGAAAGTATCTTATAAATGAAAACACAAGTTTGTGAAATATTGATGTCATAAATAGTAAGAATCTGCAGTTTCTGAAATAGAGGAGCAGAAGAGAAGTGTGACTCTGATCGGGTTGCGATCCTAACAAAACGTTTCTGGAGGACCAACATTTTTTGCAGAGTAGTAGGAAAAGTACTGATCCAAACTACATTACAATATGAAAGATCGGGATAAATTATACTGTAATAAAGACTAAGGAGACATTTTGCAGAGACAAGATGTCTAATCGGCCTTATTATTCCAATAGATTTGTTAATTTTTCTACTAACACAGTCAATATGTTTACTCCAACTTAAAGGTCAACCCTGCTCTATTCCTAACCCTAACTCGGTGGTTTTGTTGCCTATACCTAACTTCCTGTAAAGACGGAAGTTTATTTTGAACTCTGCGTGTAACAAGCCTATATTGACGCCCCATCACTGACACAAATCTGATGCTCGAGGGGTATGTAGAGCGTCATAGTTTGAAGCTTAGGAGCACTGAGCAAGCTGTGTTATATGACGTTATTTGGTGTGATAATGTGTTGAAGTTGTTGCTGACAAACTAATTTAGGATTAATAATTTGAGTCATTTGAAATTTAGGGGTGGGCTCATACATTTTTAAATAGAAAGCTGTTCTCACACACTGGTTTCAAAGAGCGGGCAGGCAATACTGAGATGCAATACAGGAAATGAAAGCATGGGAAAGGATCAACATTATTGAAGAAAAATACTGAATTAAAAGTTATCTTTCAACAAAAGAAAAAATTATGAAAAATGAACGAATTAGACATCATCTTGTGATGGGATCACACCAGCTGCAATGCAAAATCAGGGCGGTGTTGTAAAGTCGGGGGTGTGGTGGTCACTACTCCCGGAAGCCTTGCACAGACCACAACCATTTTCTAACATGGCCTTCATTTTGACCTCAACTTCACATCAAAGGCAAAGCAAATTTTCGTGTCGCGGTTACTCGTGGCAGTTTACTCACAGGACCATTTGTGGTTTATTCGCATCATTCGCGCTAGATGCGCCGAAGAAGAGTGGCTTATCTCCATGGAAGCTGTAGGAAATTTAGGTTTAGAAGTGTGTTTTAAGATTTTTAATTAGAAGTGTGTTTTAGGATTTATAGTTGGAAGTGTTTCTTAGTAGGATTTATAGCACCTTAGAGGTGGGTAGTAAAATGTTAGCAAGTACTTGGGTTATACAAATATGCTTGTAAAGCTTGTAAAGTTTTTGCCAAAAGTTGCAAGTCCTTATCGAATGTATAGTCTGTTTACAGTATGTTTACCATAGAAGTTGTCACAGTTCAGCTCCACACCCTCCTCACTCTTCTTGTCAGTCACTCCCTCCTCATCAGTCTAACTCCCTTCACCTGTTCACTCACCTGCCTCTGATCAGTAATCAAGCCCCTATATAGACTCCTGCCTCCCAGACACATTTGCCAGATTGTTCTTCGGTTTTCCATGCCAGACTCTCCAGCACGCTCCCACGGATTGATCGCCTGTTACCGACCCTGCCTGCCCCTGTTCTACCCACCTTGCCTGGCTCCCGGTAAACCCAGCAGCCTTCTGATCCTGACTCTGATTAAACTCTGCCTGCTGTATCTGGAAGTTTGTAATAAAGCCAAAGATCCCTGGAATCTGGTGTGTTGCATTTGGGTCCATATACAACCGGTTACAGAAGCGTTTAGCCATCAAAGACAATCATTGAATGTATTAAACTGTGAAGAATGGTCAAGGGTCAGACAAGGATTTACAGGGACACGCAGAAGGAAACATCACACCTGCGCTCAGGGTCCTCTAGCTGGCTGATGCGAGAAGGAGGAGCCAGCTGGATTTAACCAATAGAAACAAAGACGGACATTTTGTGAACATTTACGAACTATATAAGGAAATTCAGAGAGGGCATTCATTCTGTTCATCTCATTGTCATCCAGGTGGTGTGTATGACTGCTTTTCCGTGCGGATCATATTTCTATATCGATACTGTAAATATATATCTATAGATACTGTAAATAGTGTACTTCACTTTGCAATTGTTTTAGCTTCTGTAGTATTAAATACTTTTGATTATAATTTGAGCCGGCTGACTTTTTGGCACAGCCAAACCACGTGCGGCTCTCCTACAGTTTCGAGAGGTTCTTGAACCTAACAAAGCCGAGATCAACTAAGACATTTATTTCTGCCGTCAACCATTAAAGAAATAACTAATATTTCTAAACTAAACGCCTTCTTGTCTTCTATCAATTCGGTGGCTACATGAAGTTGATCACTCAACAGGAACTAACCCTCTTAGCATTTCATTAGTGAGTTTTAGTGTCCAATAAAAAAGCTCTCCGATGTCATGTATTACACTATTAATATTTACCTTGCAGACGTGTCATGAATATGGCTGCATCAACCATCTCAAAGTTTATAATAAACCTTGACATACCCATATTGTGCATCTGTAATGTGCTGGGTGATACAGAGCAGTAAAGGACTCTAGTTGGTTCATGATATCCAGCTGTAACTAACCTTGAAGAAGGTCATGGTGGAGCCATCCTCTACCACCCCGTATTCTATCTTCGTCTGCTTGGCTAAGTCGTCAGCAGAGTCAATGGGCGACTCCATCCTCTCCACGGTGAGGAAGGCTGCCAGGTTCGCCGTGTAGGAGGAGATGATGATAAGCGTGAAAAACCACCAGATTCCTCCTACAATTCTGGTGGAGAGGGCTTTCGGCATGAGCTCAGATCCTGAACGAGAGGAGCAGAGAAGGTGGTGAAGCCTGGTACAGCATTATGCTGGGGAGAGGGCAGCACCAAGCCAGACCAACCGAACCGGACCGGATCGGGCCAGACCAGGTAGGGCTGGGCCAGACCAGGCCAGGCCAGGCAGGGCTAGGATGGGCTAGGCCTCTGCATCTGCTGCCTGGATCACACACTCGCATACACACAGAGTGGGCAGAGTGGGCGGCTTCACGGTTGGACCTGGTGATTGGTATTTAGACTTACGCTCACTTCCGGTGTGCTCTTTCTTTACTGTGCTGTCTCTTCGACAACTAATCCCAGTTCTCATTTCAAAATGTGACGAAAAAAAAAACATCCCTCTGCCAGAAACTGACATTAAAATGAATTTGCACGCTCTTGCGACATACAGTAGGTACTGTACTTCTGGAAACTAAATAGTCGCGTGTGAGAGCGACTGTGGCTAAGGGGATAGCAGGGCAGTCTTTCAATCAGAGGGTCGGTGGTTCAATCCCCGACTCTGGCTCTGCTAGTCGCATGTCGATGTGTCCTTGAGCAAGACAATTAACCCCAAAATTGCTCCTGTAGCTGTGCCTACGGTGTAGAAATGTGATAGACTCTGAATTGTAAGTCGCTTTGGATAAAAGCGTCTGCTAAATGACTAATGTGAGAGGTAGCTACTGTAGCTGGCAAGCTAACCACCAACATGCTAGCTAGTCGGAAACAACTTCTATATGTGGGCGGTTGCCAACCAAACTGTCTTCCCCAGTTGGTAACCAGATAAACATTTAACAGTTTTGGTGACAAACTATTTGTATACTTGGAGACAATAAGTCTACAAACTTGCAATTGTCTTGCAAATTGTCTTGCAAAAGTCTTGCAATTGTCTACAAACCATCTTTTCTAAAGTAACGTATTGTTACGGTCACTGGTCGTCATTTATCATTTCTGATTGATTGCTAAGCTTCTGGAAGGCAGACCTAATGCAATATGAGCTGGCCTGAGGGCAGACACAGAGGGAGTGAGTGCTAGAGTCGAGATATGGACATGAGAGTGGAGTGCTGCAGATGAATGCAAAGAGCAACTTTTTGTGGAGACCATGAGGGATGATGAAGGTGAACCCCCTACCCTAAAGTATTTTGGTTTAATTTGTGTCTGCATCTATACGTTAACCTGAATTAACTGAACGAGACTCCGAGCTCAGTGCACGGTTGTTAATTCAAGAAGAGTACCAGAGCGGAGCGGCCCAACCATCCAGTACACTGAGCAACACTATGGGGAATGACTGGAGCAGCTGCGGAAAGATACTGGTCAGGCCTGAATACTTTCCCTGTTGATTTATAGGCATTTAGCATATGTGATGGTCTGTAAGTAGCTGCTACAGCCATAAGGCTTAGTGGTAATTAATTCCCCAGACCAAACAAAAACTCATCTTATCTGGACTACCTGTACCTTCTCTGCAGGCCTAAACAGAATCACAAAGTTATAGCTATTTTATAATTTCATTATTTTCCCCATCATCTTATTTTCTCATTGCACAGTTACTGTGTTCCTCAGTTGCTCTGCTTCCAGTGCAGCTTGTTTTAAGTAGAGCTTTTATCCAATCAGATCTCACCTCTGTGTCTCCAGGTAAGAACAGAGGCCGAGGCCTGCAGACTCACAAGTGAATCCATGTGCACTTTAAGTGAATGGGGATGATATTGTTGATTGTCATAGTGTTCAACCAATCGGATCTTAGGTTTGACATGTTGGGCGTATTCTTTGATGTGTCAGAGCCTGCTAGCTGGCCTACAAGTACATCAGCATTAACACACAGCTTAGTTTCCAGGTGCAGCTCTGCAGTGAGGTGCAGCGTGTGCTGTGATTGGTCAGTGGGCGAGCACGTGACTATCGTGAAACACAATTTAAGGAAGCTGGCAAAGCTTAGCCAGAGTAGTAAGAGTTCAAATTGAAAGATATGGAAGAAATTATGACATTTTTTGCATTTTGCTTGGTGTAGATTATTTATTTTTTTACCTAGCTTTGTTTTTTTAACACTCAATGACTGAAGGAGGAGAAACTGATTCGTGAGTTGGGATTTAACCGTGGGATTAAACTCTTAGTCAACAAAGAAAGGAGGATGGAGTTTGTCTTTAAGTGATCAGCATTTGGTAAGTCAACTGGTTTGTTTTTTTACATCTAATATCTGAATGGCCCTCGAGTGTGTAGCAGAATGTAGCGTGTAGCGTGTTGCTGCTGTTGTTTTCCCGTTAAGCTAGTTAGCGTAGCCTCCCAGAACATGTGCGGAGCCCCAGCTGTTTTATTTGTTCCGGGTTCAGAGGTCACAGCCCGTTGTCTCCTAAATGAGCACAGAAAACATTATATTTCCTACAATTTAAGCTTCTGCATTTTCCAAATGTACTAGTATTATTCAAAGGTATTGTTCGGTTCGTGAGCCTCGTACCGAACGGTTTAATACAAATACGTCTATTGTTACACCCTTAGAAACAAATAATAACCATAGCTGTGGCGCCATCATGAGGTTATAAGGAGATGGTTCAGCTGCAGGACAGCACTGAAGGCCCAGGTATAAAATGCACGGCCCGCCACTGTATAAAGGAGATTCATGAAATTGGGTAGCACACAGCTAAAATGATATCTCGCCCTATTTCAAACTCTTCAGCTGCCTGGCTCCTTGATCATCAGATTGACCCAGGCAAGCTGGTTTGTATTAGGTCAACAGTGCAAAATTGGATGGCAAAGTGGTCAAAAGCTAAACACTACATACAGATCTGCATTGATTTAGTTCATCCCTGCAAGTGACTTCACTGATTGCTGCAGTTCCTATGAGGAAGTTTAGCACAGCATCAGTTACTTTCATGTTTGTTTATCTCTTACAATAGAGTAAACTAATTTGACTGTTTATACATTCAAGTTCTATGCAGAATGTAGGCTGAGCATGAAGGAGCATATGTGCGTGGGTAGAGAGGGAGGGAAGGAGGCTTGTTGTCCAGGGGGAAAGAAGGTGGGCCTTGGTTATATCAGGACTATTCTCCTCAAGCGGCTTAAGCAATTGAAAGCTGGGATTTTGCACATTCACTCGGAGGGAAAGCTGATAAGGTGTCAGGGAGATAGGAGGTTGAGAACTGTGCTCCACTCCTTTTGTGAGAGACTCACTTTTCATCAAACTTCTTTCTCGCTGTCCCCCGAGTGAGCTGTCTAGTAAAGGGAGCGTGCAGAGAAAGACCTGACAGCCAACTGCAGCTCCAGCCCACCGCTATTGATACTGCAATGGAGGGGGAAGGGCAGGCTGGAGGGCGGGATCTTACCTGTTAAGTGATAACAAATAATTGTATTCACTATAATGACCTTCCAAGATCATGAAAAATAACAGCTAATTGTTTAATGAATTAATACAATTGTGTCTTTTCACAAGTAGTTGAATGTGTTCACTGTCAGCATGTCTGCATGCTCAAAGACACTACACCTACTCTTCTGTAGCACTTTAAATATGGGGTGTTAAATTGATATCATCATGCTGTTTAAGTGTAGAACACTCACAGTATGTTGATAATACAGTGTTTACCTCTGCATTATCACTCACTGCATGGTGTGAAGTCTTGATGGACACATCAGCAGTGTAACAGGCTGGACGATGAACACAGTTACACTCTGTTGCCTGTTAAGTAGATTGGGTCTGCAGTTCATTTGTCACTGAACTGTGAACCGGCCAGGTAATCATCGTGTCGTAGGTCAAAACACACACACGCTTGCTGTGCTCTGGAGCTGGCCGTGTACAGTCTTTACCACTCTGTGTTTTTCTGTTCTGAAAAGTCTTCTTTTTGAAAACCAACATGGCTCGGTGCAAAATTTTATTTCAAAACAAAACTCATTTGACATCAGACAATATATTAAACTTCATGTGTTTATCCAAACAGAGAATCTGAAGTCTCAAATATGTCAATGCATTAAATGAATGAAGTAGAAAATAGAAATGGAAGAAATAAGATGTCTTCCGAAAAATCTCTTACAAGATGTTATGTATATATTAGTGCTGGGCAAGTTAACGCATTATTATCGCGTTAACGCATTCATTGATTAACGCCGACAATTATTTGATCGCGCGTTACCGCAGTTCTTTTTTATTATTAAGCGGTCATTTTTAACGCAACAACCGGGCAGCGAGCGGTGAACAGCTGTGTTTGTGTGGCGTCACTTCCTGCTGCTGCTGCCGCTGTTAACAAGAACCTGATGTGTTTAAAGTGTTTGCAAACCAAATGTTATTGCACTTTTGTTCATATAGCAGTACTTTTAAAATATAAGTGCGCAATACACTACTTTTGAATTCATTATTGAACTTTGCACATAACAATGCGATTAATCACGATTAAAATTTTTAATGTGCAAACACTTTTAAAAAATCAGGTTCTTGTTAACAGCAGTATTCCCTTTACACGGTAGCAGTTATAATACAGTTATAATGATTCTGATAATGGATATTCAGCCGGTGCTCACAACTTTATCTTCATGTGTGTAAGAGATGCAATTTGAAATATACTTCTTAAACTGCAAATCTATCTACGTCATGTCTTTATGTTTGTTAAATTTTCAGTAGTGATACTAAATGATGCTTATTATACATATTACAAACAAAACACTTTAAAAACTCAAAAAAGAAAATTTAAATGAATCATTTATTTTTTGCCTTTTTTGGTATTTTGGTCAGACACATATGCAACGCTGATTACCGTAATATGTGTGGTATTTGTTATAAATGTACGTTGGTACATAGAGGGTGATAAGAAGCTGTACATGGAGGGACTTAGGACCCAGGGGAATGTATGTGAAGGAAACAGGAAGAGACGCGACAAACACAGCTGTTCACCGCTCGCTGTGTTAAAAATGTCCGCTTAATAATAAAAAAAACTGCGTTAACGCGCGATAAAATAATTGTCGCCGTTCATTAATTAATGCATTAATGTGATAATAACGCGTTAACTTGCCCAGCCCTAATATATACATATATATATATACTGTATATATACTGTATATATGCAGATATGTTAACCACACATATGCATCAGAATACATTTTCCCGAAGTGTATTCATTGATCATCGTTGGTGATATAAAGCTTACAATCACAAATATTTCATTTTTATGCATTTTGAGATCATAGCTCTATAATTATTATCTAACAAAATGTAACAAAAATACATTGAAGGTTATATGCTAATCTCACAGAGGGCCCTCAAAAAGCTACAGCTGGCCCCAATCCGAACAACTAAACAAGGACTTTAGTGTCTATGTTAGCATTATATATATTGTATATGGACTCATGTGTCTAGAAATAAAAGTTGAATAAATTAAAAACACAAGTTAACCCTCTAAAACACTGTCTGTTTAACCTATCATGAGCCACCAGCCATCCACACTCTCAGACTTGGCTCAACCACAGTATCTAAGTCAGCCAGCGCGGAGCAACAGCCACCCACTTTGCCCATTCATAAAACCACAATCAAGAACACAAGTCAAGGAAGCAGGCATGATCACAAACGCATTCATCAGTAGTGTTAGCAGTGGATTCTGCTTGTTCTGTGTTGGACCCATGGCCGGCTATCAGATGCAGGTTTGTTTCAAAGTGTAAAAGTGTTACCAGCTCCGAGCTTCCTTTCCTGTTTCACCTCAGACACCAGAACAGAAAAGAGGGGCGACCCACTCAGAGCGGCGAGTCGACCCGAACAGAGCCTGGTTGGGGCTGACTGTCATGTACCCAAGGTAACGTCATGACCAAAGAAGCACATCCCACAGTTTTCTGGGGGGCGGGGCAAGCCGCCGGGCAGGGGAGCCTCTCTACAGTGCAGACCAGCACGGTGCCATGCAGACACCGCGTGTTCCTTCAGTCTAATCCCGCTGCCTTCTGGCCTCAGCCACATCTTCTCAACTGGTCAACCCTACACATCTGTTCTGCTGGCTCGTCAAACAAACTATGTCCAACACGACTACATCGTGAATTACATTTACATCCATCTTTGACAGTTCTTAGTTAGTCATAAACATGTTTTATTCTCTGTTCATAAAATCCTCAAACCAGTCATCATATTTTGATCTCAAATAATTCAAATAATATTTGCATCCTAATACATCCAATAAATCCAAATCTGTGAGAAAAGTTAGTAGCTAATTTGGGGATATTAGTATGCATGCAGCATAAGTAAGCATGCAACCAGCCAACTAGATATACGTTATCAGCTGCTAAATCCTGGGAAAGACAGACGTCTGTAGACTTAAAGGGTCACTTCGTCAAAAAACAAACAAATTCCCTTCCAACTAGAGGTATGTAGTCATGCAGATAGTTCTGCTTGTATTTGTCCAAGTTTTGACATCTGTCTCTGAGATGTCACCCTCCACCTGATACAGTTGTGGAGGTTAAATGTGGATTCTGCAGAGAATCAGATAAATAGGTTGAATCTTGTAAGAAACTGAATATCTAAACATGCGATCACTACTTATTCCCTTTAAAAGCACCAATAAGTAGAAGATTACGTATGGTTGACAGCACTTGAAAAAGCCCTTGATTTTTTTCCAAGGTCAGAAAAATAAAGTTTTCACAAACATTAAAGTTTAGGTTTGACTTTTAAGTCTTGACTTTCTGTCAAGATAGCTTGTTTTTAAAGTAAAATATTTCAGTTTCACTGTTCATTTAAAATTTTCATTTGAGGTTTAATTTCACAATACCTATTCAGTTCATTTGATGATTTAAATGGTTACATTCTTCCAATGTGAGCACCACAATTAAAATTCCTTCCACCTCCTTTGATAGGGTGGAGGCAGAAATAACAGAGACAGATATTCAAAAACCCAAACCAAATCTACATGGCTAGACCCCAATAGAGGTAAGGGAGACATTTGGATTATTTCTTGTACTGCAGCTTTGACTATAGCAGCATGTTCTGTGTGCTCCATTGCACTGTTCAGATGCAAGGACACATACACACATAAATACCATGCTGTCCAGGTCCTCCAACCATCACTACCTGCTGTAAATAAGTTGGAAATGCTAATTTAAAAATGCAATATATCTCCCAATGTGACATGCATTGTAAAGGGCATACAGCATTTATTATTATTAAAGTGATAACATTCCACACTTTGTTTTTTTCTCAGTCTAAAGATGCCAACTAGTTGAGAAGATATGGCATTTGTTTGGCTGAAGGAAACAAAACTAAACAGGCACGGGAAGCTGCTGAGTTCATATTCTCATTCAATCTCACCCATTTGATCCATCTCAGGTATTCTGGGTAGGTTCACTTACCTGTTCAGATGGCCGTGGACAGTTGGGGAAAGGGAGGGGAGGAGTCAGGGAGCATGGGGAAGGGAAGCATGCAGGCGCACCACCCTCATTCATTGATCCCATCACTCAAATCCCATTCAGTCCAGTCCCGCTGGACTCTACCAGTGGAGCATCTAGCATCATGCACAGAGGCCCCCATGCATGGTCATGGGCCTGGTCAAAGAACAAGGTTGACCCCCAGCAAAAAAGTGGGACTTGTGCTAGAAAAAGGGGGGCAGGCAGAGGCGTCTACCTTGCTGCATGAGAGCTCCAACTCCAAACCAGAAACTATTTAGCAGGGTGAAATTGTTTTCCACTACATCCGAGTCAGGGTTGCAAGGGTGGGGGTTATACCACTCGTAGGGACTAAACCTGTGACAATTAACAGAGAACACACACATATATATATATATGTTTACTGCAGTTGCTTAAAGACACAAGAGTAAACAATAAAAGAGACCAAGAGTTGTCATCCTACCTGGAGAGACAGGGAGAGAAAACAAAGGTTACATAGTCATGTCCAGAGATAAGACAAATCCTGCCTGAGGAAACTTCCCTCATCAAGAAGCATTGCTATGCCTTCATGTGCATACCTCAGATTGCTATGCGCTTAACTGGATTAGTAAATTAAGAGTTTAATACATGGATTATTATAAAATAATGATTGGGATTATTTATTAGTCAAAATAAAGCCTTAAAAAATGACTGCTCATCCGAATCTCTCGTGTCTGTTTTTAAATTGTAATAAGATACAATACTCAGGGATTGGGCTCCATTTAACCCCACTCATATTCCAAAGGTGGCTCCTCGTGTGGGAGTGCTCATATCAAAGGCAGTTCCCTCAGTAATTTAATCGATGGGGTCTGAAAATAACTCCATTGTCAGCCGAGAAAAGAACTAATAATCCTTATAATCTTAGAGGAGCATTAATATTCAGCAGATCAAGCGGTTCATTCCCATCATGCCCACGCCAGCCCCGGCGCTCCCCCTCACTCGACACACTCCTCAGGCAGAGATTTCTCATTTATTCATATCAAATAAAAGTGACATTACATTAGTAAAGGTTGATTGGTCTACAATTAAGCATTCTGACCTGATTTGGTTTGTGCTGGAGTCGAGGGGGAACTGGGGCCCTATCTTGACTCAAGCTGTTTAACAGACACAAGGGTTTGACTAATCAAATTGCAATGCATAATGTAGACTTACTGCGCTGGAAGTCAAAAACGATAACCTCGAGTGGATGTTTCATCTGCATAGAGGATAATGCAGATGAAACTGCTACCACCATGTCAAGGTTTGGATTGTCCTCTGGTTATAATACAGCAGTACTGGGTTGAATACCCTAATATGAAGACGCATGGTTGTATCGATAAAATGACTGCATTATAACTGTACCCTGTCATTGACTAATGGACTTTGCCATTATGATATGGTTAACATTGGTGTTCCTTCTCACCCCCACAACACTCAGAAGGATATTGTGTAGTGTAGCTCAAGGACCTCTGAATGTCCTCCTTATTTCTGCTTTAAGAGAATCCTTGGCCTTAAATCAATCCGTCCGCTCACTCAATTTGCCTCAGATTTGCTTGCTTGTCAATTTGCAATGCCAAATTGAGTTCAGCTGAACTGCGACCTTGCTGTGGCAAATGTGACAATGTGACCCAATCCCTTGCGCAGAGGTCTCTGAGTGCGTTTCCTCCAATCATGTTGTGAAAAGCCAATTACCGCTCGCCATGAACATGGATGAGCGCAGTTGTCAGCGTTGTGCTGGATCATGGGAGTGGCTGGCTGGACTGCCGCTGCTGCTGCTGGTTGGGTCAGGGAATGCTGAACCAATGCCACTTACAGGAGACAGCACAGCTTAGCCCGTCTTTTACTGTAGCACTGTTTGGCCTGTTTGCTGTCACTTTGATCCTATTACACTGCCCTTACATTATCTCAGATCACCTGTGCTACAGCGGGAGAAATTTTGAGCAAGGTCAGTGCAGAGATAAAAGCCAGGAATTCACCAGCAGCGCAGAAACAATGTGAGGCTTTTATCTTTCTACGGGGGCAGGGTCACCCAGCAGAAACCTCCAGCGATGCTACGCATGATAACACCAATGTCAGGGGAGATAAATCAAAAGTCAGAATGGTCTGGTTGCTCTGTCACAGGATGATGCACTTTATCTGTCTAAACTTAAGCATTTGACTCATCAGTAAACTTTATATTTCTGCTGACTGTTGGAAGTGTTTTCGATTTTTTCCCATTTTTTATTTCCAGCAAGTTTGACTATTGTGATGGTTTTTGAACAGGTAACACCAAAAGAGCTCATCATTCAGAATGCTGCTGCTACTACGATCTAAACAAAGACGCAACCAAACACAGGACTGTTTGTGTCCCGGATGGAACCAAAAGTAAACATTGAGTTTACACTTGTTACGTAACGTTGCTAACCAACATTGTTATATAACATTCTATTGCTTATGTTAAGTAACGTTACATAAAGTCAACTAAGGGCGGTTTTTTATTGACGCTATATAGTTTGATTTAAAATTACGTTGTTACTTTATTTTCACACAAACTTTTATCTTTTTTTACCTCAACCAAGTAGTTTTATTGCCTATGCTTAACCAATAGTTTTACAATGTTAACCACTTGGAATATGAAAGGTATTTATGAAACTTGTTTTGGTAGACTGGGTAGTTAAAACACATAAAACGGGCTGGTGTGCCTGGGAAAATATTCAACAATAATGGAAAGTACAGGCTGGATAATTTGCTGTACATTTGCACTGGCAACATTCTTTAAGGTTTAACCAAAATGCACAAGATAGGTTTGTCAACTGCGGTACACTGTACATGATAGCCTTCTGTGTACACAAGGAACGTAATGCAGCTTCCTACCTGACACTCATTTGTTTTTGTTATGTATTTAGTTGCAGCGGGCATATTTATGTCAAAGGTCCAAAGCAATTAGACCTGTTAACCTTCTCTTACTCATTAAGGCTCAAAAAGATGAACTCACATCCAGAACATCATACTTAGAGGTCTGCGTGGGATTCACAGGAGAATTTTAACCGCACGACGAGGCTGTGCCTTTAATATGAGCACGTACCAAACCAAAGGCTTCTCATTATTCAAAGACTAAGGACGGACAGATTACACTTTGATGTGAGGAAAGAAAGACGATGCACACGGAGAAATATTCTAATTTTGGGAAGGACAGGCGAGAACTAGATGTCAATATCGTGAGTCATAATTCTTTGGAGAAAGACGAAGAATATTCTGCAGAAACCTCCTGATCAATTACTGTTACATAGCTTCACCTCTACTTCTCGCTTATCTTAAAGAAATGCTCTTGATATGTAAGATGTAGGGAATCGGATTCCCCAAAGTGTAACAAGGTGATAATGCACTGGCTTTAGCAGAGGTGGTGTGATATCTATCATCACCTGTGCCAGAAGCAGCAATGGTGCTATTGATGTCATTAGAGGGAACATAAAAGCAGTAACAACCGGTGACATTGACATCAGTAACTGGCGATATCGGGGCAGGTGGCGGTACAACAGAGTAATCATGTGGTTTCAGCTGTGCGCCCATGTGGAATAGGCCTATCCATGAGAGAGAGAGAGGCTGCTCTAGCTCTAGCACTGTGTTCAGTCTCCCACACATACAGTCAGTCACACAGTGCAGCACAAACACAAGCATACATAGATGAAATGTGTAATGTGTACACACATATATAAACAGTATATAACTGCACAGTGGAACTAAACCTTGTTGTGTAAATTATTGCCTGTCAATTGTATGTGCTTGACAGTTTGGTCTCACACGCTTTTGTGAAATGAGTACTTAACATATAAATGACATATGTGGACAAAAGGTGAAAGAAATGCATTTCACCACCATGCAAGTATTAATTAGAGGACATGGGACAAATAAGGCTTTTTATGGGTGCATAGAATAAGCAGAGAACGTCCCAAGAACAATGATAGCATCTGTTGGGTTCATGCAAACAGACTGGATGTTTACATTTCAATGAGAAGCAAAGTTGAATGACTCTTTTGTCAAGAGCAAAGACAAACGTAGTGTGACATTGTTCAGGGCCAGGAACCTTGTTAGGATTGGGGGGGGTCTCTTTGACATGGAGAGCACTGGTCATCTCCTATCAACAGTCAACATCCTGGTTAAAAGAAAACAAAGTAGTTCTTCTCTCAACAATAACACTGATGGTTCCCTGACCTGAACTGAGTAACCCAACCTCTATCCTTAGATCTGCAACTATCAAAGTAGTTCTTGTGCCTAAACCTGACCAGACTTTTACCAAAGTGGTTACAAATGAAGAAATACACTATTGATTTGATTGATTATTTATTATTTATAAGGGTTCAGAAGCACTTTTCCTGCCATAGGCATCGGATCAGAAAACACTAATATGGCTCATTTTTGATGGTAATGCAAATTCATTGTTTAGTTTGAGACTTTTTTGGAGTATTTCATGGTAGTACCAAAAGGTAAGTATATTCATGATAAATGTCTGTACTTGTTTCAGTCACTGTTCCTGTAGTATCATTGTAGTATCTTAAAACATAAATGTGAGTAGTAGCGATAGCTTGTTTCCGTTATCTTTTGCTAGTTATCTTTTTGCCTATTGTAGTGCTGTTCTGTATGTGGCCGTCTTTGGTTTTCTTTTCATATTGTACTGACATTATGCTGAACCCACAACAACAAACCAACGAGAGACAACAAAGCTTGTCACTTTTTTTCTCTTGGTTAACCTTGATGAGTATCATATGGTAGCATCTAAAGTGTTCACATTTAGCTGATCACATGGTGAACAATGAACCTGTTCACTGGTTTTAGTGCTTCCCTTATCGAGCCATGTAGATCGTTTCTTTCTTTTTTTCTGTCTCTGTATTTTCGAGGATTTGTTCTAGTTTAAACAGGAACTATTTCTTCTGTAAGAGTTAGCTTCAGTGAGAAGTTTGAACAGCTAGTTCTATCGATTATCTAGAACAGCAGGGACACTAAGACATGTGCTTCTTGAATTTGTGGGCTGAGCACAACAAACTAAATCCCATTCACCGCCAATGTATTGGAGTGAAATAACCAAATACAAAACTATCTGTATGGCTACATAGCACAGGGGGAGGAAAGTGGGAAAATATTTAACACTTCTATGATATTTCAACTGCACAGGCTCTTTTCTCCAGACTAAGCTAATGTCTGACAGAACATTATAAACATGTACAACTCTTCTTGTGAAGGCGGAGGGAAGTAATCTACACATCTTCTGTTCACAACATGTAATCTGCCTTTTAGACCTCATTTCATGAAATTTTGTGAGACTGTTATGTGCTTCACTCTACAGCAAAAACATGCAGCTGTAGCCAAACATGCATTTGTGTGTACAGGAGAAGAGAAGGAATAGAGGGGGAATTTATACACTTACCCAAACACTTACTTATTATGATATTAAATACAGATAGGTGCATATTCTGAGCCAACTTAGATGACAGTTGCCGCTTCTTATTCTCTCGTGTGATCATATCGCCAGTAACATCGGAAAACACATGTGCGTTAACGGTAAAACTGTCGGGTCACGGCTGCAAGACAGCCGACGTCTCCCAAAAGTTTTAGAGTTAACATTAACTTTTCTCCCTCTTTTTTTCTTCACCATGCTTCTAATGGCAGCCACAAGTAAGAACCACTAGATCAAATGAGCGGGCTTCAAAAAACATTGGCCTAGTTCCACTGAATGGATTTATCGGAGCAAAGACAAGAAAACCAGTACAAATAATGTGTTGTGTCATTTCACCAGCCAAAGCTGCATCAGCAAACTAACTAAACTATGATGTAGGTGAAACTAAAAGTAAATAAGATAATACAGAGCTGTATGTGTCCATTATAGATACAACACCTACCAGTCTAAGCTAGATTTTCAGTGTGGTTAGGTCACATTAAGTCTCATTGACACAAGCAGAGCAAAGAAGTAAAAAGATTCCTGATTATTTATTGAATGTTTCTATCTAAGGCACCGTTCTATGACATAATGTGCAGGGCTGAAATCAGCACAGAGCTCTACCCATACTACACCTACCCTCTACAGCATCCATCAACTGAACATAGCCCCCTTATGTGCTATCACCTTCTATCGCCAAGACCCAAGTGCCACTCCAGAACCTTGTACTTCTTCACAAATGGTCATAACAAACATATTTGGAACAATGTATTTAAACTTTGCAGCACTCCCTCCTTGGGTTCAGTTTCTTTGTCCAATGCCATCTGAACTTGTAAGGCGCTGCTTAACTGAACTGAGAGACCTGAAATTGCAGGTCACTGCACCAGTTTAGAGAGAAGTTTGGTGAAGAAGTATTCCAAGGCAACTAAAGAAAATAACCCTAAATTTCAGGTTTTTACAGGGGAAAAGCATAGACCAGCCTATATAATAATGGACGACGCACCTCCACTTCCTCCAACTGTACATAAATCAAACCAAAATATCTTGGATACGGGTGCTGCTATCATGCGCTGGTGACGTCATTTGGAGCCAGAGTCCACGCAGCAGTGATCGGGGATGGAGCTGCGGTATCGAGGTCCCGCCCGTACACCTGCCTGCTCTGTGTGCTTTGACAGCCTGCATAGCAAATTAATCTGGACATATATATTTGTCTATATCTTAATATATTCTCAACTACAATGCGCACTGGAGAAGTTTAGTCACAGAGTGGATCCTAAGCAAAGGTTACAAGGACTAGAATCAGATTTGACTCCGCTTTTCCAAGAGATTGTCCGATCTGGTAAGGCTACAGCTGAAAACGAATAAACCGGGTACTTTTAAGGGTGACTATTATTTTCTAGTAATTGGAGACTGTGAACCTAAACGAGCAGAAATAAATTATAGGCTATCTCTGACTCAGTTGTGCTTGAAGCAAGGTGAAGGAAACAAGAGAAAAGAAAAGACAGCATGAACTCGGAGACACTGGGGACAGTGAGGGAAAGGTGGGAGAGGGGCAGCAGTGTTCACACCGAGCTCGACACATCCCACAAACACACACAATTACGCACAAATATCTGTATGAGTGCACAACCTTTCTGCCACTCTCTCAGACATATACACACAACCCTCAAACGGCTGATAGGCCTACTACTTCTGTTTCTCCTACTGATAACAATGTAAGAACCTCGCAGCAGTGCCAAGTCTCTAAATGTTTCATGGTGAAAAGAAAACAAATATTCATGTGGTTGAACTGCATTAAACATGTTACACAGCAATGGCGTTGAGTTGTGATACATGACCGTTGATTAGTGTCAGCACTGTCACTGAGCGGTGAGCTTTTACTGTGAGCGAGTCAGTGTGCTGATGCTGTGATTACAGAGATTGGCCTGTTGTTATTCGGGCGGGGGAGCCGAGCGATGGCAGCTAAGCATGTTTCTGACTGTGTGTGAGGCTGTGATCACAGGAAGTGACATGTTACCTGGCTATGACAAACAGCACACAACTGACACCCAAGTAAGCCAGCAGAATATACATCCAGATATCAGGCGAGAGGGGGTTGAGGAAGGAGAAGACCCCAGGGTTGGTCCCGTTGGGCTTGCGGTACAGTATACTTATACCCAGCGTCATGAAGGGCTTAGAGAAGTCGACAATCTTCTCGCGTGCATATGTGATGGCGAGGGGAGCCACTGCCAGATCAGCTCTCTGTCAACAGCAAACATAAAAGAGAAGAGAGATAGACCATAAGTCACAGGCACAGGAAGCGTTTAGAGGCAATCAAATTAAGAAAACAGGGTCTTTACACACTACAGAGTCTGTCCCAAGGCACTTAGCAAGAAATTTAATGTCACCCACTCACTCAGTCCATATAACTGTCTGTCTGCCTGTCTCACTCACTCACTCTCTCTCTATCTTTCTGTGTCTCTCTCTCCCTCTCTGTGTCTCTCTCTATCTTACAGTTATTCAGGTCTTAGATATTTTTAGAGGACTGAAGAGTATGAATCTAAAATGCAGAAAAGAGAGTAGTGCTATCTCAATTGAACCTGAATGACACTACCGGTAACATTGGCGTGTTTATACAGTATATTGCGATTTCTTCAGGCAGTAGAAGCCACACTGTCAAAATTTCTTTAGGAATTTTCTAGTTATCCTTGTGGTTAACCCTAACAAGCACAGGTATCACCTCCTGAGAAAACCAAGCAGTGGAAGCAAAAACAAAACCCGTGACAATTACTAGAGATAGGTTCAATTTTGTTAGAGTAAAGGCATTTACACATTTGGGGCATGAAGAATAAAGGAAGATAACAAAAATGCTAAATATGCAAGTATTATATGTTGAAGGCTTTTATTGTGAAAGTAAGGAACGAAAGGAGTAGATCTGGTCTGCGCCATAAACTGTATATAAGACGTATTAGTCATGATGCCACCCATTGATTTGGGGACTAGGGTTTTAAAGCCTCATGTTTGGAATTTTGGCCATTTCCATCTTGTTATTTTGCAACCAGTGAACGCAAGTTATGATATTTGTACTGCGGAAGAGTGACAGAGACGCCGTGAACAGCTCTGTTAGAGACCTGTCAATCACAAGGTAGCCCCACCCTAAAACATTAACTGCTTTATGGTATTATTTAACTCTAAATGGACCATAATGTACTAAATGAACATCATGCTGTATTGAAGAAGACTTGAAACTAGAGATTGAGACCATAAACTCATGTTTACAATGTTTACTGAGGTAATAAATCAAGAGAGAAGTAGAGTCATTTTCTCATAGACTTCTATACAAGTCGCCCCCTGGTGGACACTAGAGAGAATGCAGCTTTAAGGCGCTTCTGCATTGGCTTCACTTTTCAAAACTGCCCATCTGGTCTGCGCTGCCTTTGTCAAGGTTGAGATGAGTAATACTGTTTGCTGTCTTGGTTCAAACTACGGAGCCTCTGTGTTGTTGTTTTATTGTCCTTTTAAATAATGGTGAACTCAACCCGTTCCACACAATTGGTTAATGCCTTTATTCACGGTGTGAAAGCTCACAAAATCAACCTTGTTCTGAAAACAAAACCCCTTTTTCGCAGCATTCAGTAAACACAGTATATGAAATTATTCACACTAAAAAAACGCCACTGTGTATAAAGGTTTGCTTACAGAATGTGTCTCTGCTCCGCACACATGCAGCTGTTTACAGCACACACTGAACATCAATATTACTTTTCCATAGAGTTATTTATAATATTGAATAATCCCTTCTCTGGCAAGCACAGGAGTCGTGCTTATATGTGCGACGTGTGCTCTAGAGATACACAGAGGGGAAAGTCAGGTTTCCATATCTGGGCTGAAAACCGTGCTGTACTGCTGGCAGTTAATAAATCTTGAGCTGCCTTGTGACTATAAATGCTAAACATCAACAGCAAGGTCAAGTGCTTCATTTCTCAAAGATATATCCTTTTTGTCTTATGAAGGTTGCCATACATCACTTGAGGAGGAATTGACTGTGCTTTCTTCTCACAGCTGTGATACATAAAAAGTCTAGCAGATACCAGGCATCTCTGAATCCAAACTACCGTAGGAGCCTCCACTTTAAACATTGGCAAGACTAAAGATCATTTTGCTAAATTCCTTTGACAGGATGTTTCCAACTTGTTCAGCTCAATACAGCCTGTCTTCCTCAACTGAACTTCTTCCCTGTGAGTCCACACTGCCCAGTCTTCTGAGGGCCTGTCTGCTGCAATCACCATCTGTCTCAGTCAAGCCCTGTGCGCCCAGTGTGAGAAGTGGGGCAAACCCACGCTGAACATCATCTCGCAGGGGATTGGACCCTTCAGCCATGACGGGACCAGTCTGTCACGACGGCCAATCACCGTACTGATCAAGAGCAGGAGCAGTTACGGGAGACTTGGGTCAGATATCGACTATTGCCCATGCTGCATCTGCTTTTTTTCTGCCCATGCAGTTTATCCTAACTGGGACTTTGTCGGGAGTAATGATCTACACTGTGTGAGTTTTAATAAGCTCTGTAGGGGAAACACGTCCCGACAGAATCTATGCATCACTGTACTCTCAAGCAGAGTTAGTTCTTACCTCTTAGTGCGTTTCAGTGAGATATTCCTCATCATATCTTATCTTTTGTCATTTTCAACCAAACATTTGGACGTAATAGACAGTTTACACAAATATACAAGTCATGAAATTAGCGTCAAAATATAATGAAAAAAATGAAAGCAGATTTAATACGAGGCACATATGAAAAACAGACACGTACTGCAGGTGAATTGCATAAAAATGTTGATCTGGAACTAACTAATTATTGTCATGATTTCTTCCAATAATTGATTCCACATCCCAATGTTTAGGCTCCTCCGCTTATCTGTACTATTTTTGTACTTCCCTGCATTGGATGAATATAGTTATCTTACATTTGAATAGCTTGTTCTGTCAGACCAACAGTCCAAAGTAAGAAGTTGAATGAGGTTCTTGAAAAAATAACTACTGTAATAGATATCATTTTAAACCCAAAACAGTTGTTTTCACCATCACAATACACAATACATGCTGGCTGCTTTCTACTATTGTGTTCAGCTCTGCCTGCTCACAAATCTGAATAATGTTTAAGAATTATTATGTTTATTACAACTTAAACTTCATTTTGTAAGGTTTGTACACCATTTCTTACCAAGCTAATTGCCAAATTCCAGCAATTAACTTTGCGTGTACAATGGTATTGGCCTGAACTAGATGTCAACATGTGTTTGCTAAAAATCCCATTCATGTTCATTCTTGAATGATATAATATTTAGAGACTCACATGGTCCATTAGCTCCTTGACCATGCCATTCCACTGGCCCGTGTTCTCATCCTGGGCACCGTATCTCCCATCTTCCACCAGGCGGACCTCGTAAGTGAAGCCCAGGATGTTGGCCAGCTCTCTCAGCAGGTCTATGCAGTAGCCCTCAAAGCGGTCGTTCCCATACAGCGGCTTGTCAGACTTCTTGAACATCACATATGGCTCCTCCTGTCAGGTGAAATAGTGGAGGACGGATGAGTCTCTACAGCACTTGGCATCTTTTACCAACCAATAAGGCCTATCTGAGAGGGTGTCTGATGTGTGAGATAGGCTTTTCAGCCGCACGAGCCCGAACACACAGTGGCTCGACAAGTAAAGCGTGTAAAGCCGCTGTGTTTATGTACGTGTTTTTTGTGTACATGTGTTTGTATGTGTGTGTGTGCCAGCAGTCCCAGTCCTGTGATGTGAGGTAGGGTGGGTGCAAAGTGAGGCATGACCATAATAAGAGATAATCCCCCATATCAATGACTCTGTGCTCCTCTCGGGCTCAGTAGGCTGGCTTCGGGCCCAGGCCCAGCTTTCAGGACACCACACGCTTTGTCAATAAGATAAGCGATGCTGATAGACGGACACAAAAAGAGAGCGCAAGAGCCGGCACATCCCCTCTGTTAGCAGCTGGGGAGATTACTAATGTCTTCTTTCATCCAGATTTTTTTCCTCCCCTCCCGCCTACTGAGCATCTCCTCCACCGTGTCCTTCTCCTCTCTCTCCTCCACGCTTCACTCCCCGTTTCTCCTCCTCCAGCTTCCTCCCCTCTGTACCTCTGCTGCATGCACCATCTGTCTTTGTTAGCCTTAGACGCTCATTCTCGCCGCACGTCCCTCATTTCTACGACTCCCTCGACTCTCTCAGACAAATAAATCCCAAAATATATTGTCAGGCAGGTGTTGTTTGTAATACAACTGTGCCCTGACTGAAACAAAAAGAGAAAAAACATTCAGATTGCTAACAGCTCTGATACATTTCACTGGCTGGCATTTTAACAGGATGTAGGCTGTGAGATGTTTGCAGATGGGGAACAACACTTTGTTCTATTCACTAGTCGTGGCGGGCCAAACAAACTGCTGATTTGCACTGTATCATAAATCTGCCTTGTAGTAGTGATGGCAGACAGGTGTTGAGGATAATGATTTCACACCACAGCATTGTGAGGATGGATCATGGAGCAAACACAGGTAGAACAACATGACAGCTTTCTTGATACATCTGATTCTATATGTAAGTATTAAATATCAAATAATATCTTTATGCCCATCTGTGTTAATTTTTCTCTATACCATTAATCCCTAGTATTTTTATGTATTTACTTTTAAGATAAAACTTGTGAAATGCATGTGCAGTTTCACAAATGATATATGTGAAATGTATGCCCCTTGCAAAAATCCCATTGAATAAGGTATTTGTAGATGAAAACCTATTTTATATTAAATATATGTTGTTATATCATGTGAATATTCATTACATGTGAAATATCCAAAAGCCACAAATGTCTGTGTGATGTGACGTAAATAAGTCAAGATATTTGAGCAAAAATGTATGAAAGTCACAGGTTTCAACAGGTTTAACCCTTGTGTTGTCCTGGGGTCATTTTTGACCCCAGGACAACACAAAATGTTCTAAATAAATGAGACATCATATTTTTGGTTTAATATTGAATGACTTTTCGTAATTTAATGGGGACAACTGGGTAAACACAAACTCAACATGTTGATATGTAAAGTTATATGTAAAGCCATTAAAACACCCAAAAAATATCTCTTTCCAATTTTAGGTCAATCAGTGAGATTTGATGGTGATCTGCATATTTCTCCATAGTCCCGTAACAGGGATTCTGGGTTTGGGTGTCGGGGGGGGTTGTTTTATTTAAAGGGCTATTTAGGTAGTCAACAAAAAACTAAGTACCTGACACATAAACTTGGGTAGCAATTTTAATTACAATAATGCTCTGCAGGTTCAAATTGCTGGGGTCAAAAATGACCCCAGGATAACAGGTGTTAGTAAATTTGAAGGTAACAGGAGGGTTAAATGTTGCAGAAATGAATGTTGACATGTTTTATATGTCAGGTAATGACTTGGAATAAAGTTGACGAAGGAGTTGAAACACAGAGGTGGGTGATAATTTATACTGTATGCTTTATAAACAGTCAAACCTGACGGGGTCATTTTTGACCCCAGAGGACAACAGGTGTGATTATGTGCTGCCATTAGAAAAATTCAAATGATTCAAGAACAGCATCCGCACTAAACTTTGATATGTACCTCTCTGTGATAAGTCAAATAGTAAAAAATAATATAAAGTCAAAATAATTCATTGTTTCATTGTATTTTCACTCAAAAACAGGGTATACTTTTATGTAAACAAGGTCTATTGGCCCTAAATTCCAAAATGAAGGGAACGATTTGTGGTAATGTGTTGGACTGAAGGAAGACTAAAGGTGTAAAACAGAATTGATTGACAATTTATACTATATGCTTTAAAAACAGTCAAACCAGGTGGGGTCATTTTTGACCCCAGAGGACAACAGGTGTATGGCAGTCGCGAGGACAACACAAGAAACAAAAAGCACATATGAGACTTTGTTAAATGCTGTTTCATACGTATATGATAATACATGTAAAATGGTATCTGCACCAAAAAAGTTTCCTCATGTTAAATACATAAAAAGCCACATACAGTGTCTACTGTATGTCATGTATATATGTGTCATGTATATCATATCCATTTACCATGTGTATAATGCTGTGAAATTGTTGTCCCTGAGACAAATTGTGTCTATTCATTGTGTGAATTTATCACACATGAATAACGGTTTTACATGTGATATTATAAAATGTTTGTCCCTAACATAAGAATCATATTCTAACATTTTCACACGTGAACTATATGCATTCATCATATTAGTGTTCACAAGGTAGTTAAGACCCCAGAGCACGCAATCCTGATAGGCCCTAGTGAACGCTGGTTATGAAGCGCGCACGCACGCACACACACACACACACACACACACACACACACACACACACACACACACACACACACACACACACACACACACACACACACACACACACGCGCGTCACATGATCAAACAAGATTTAACATTGGACAACATCTTTATACACATTACACAACAATCATTGTTGCATAGCTGTATATGACATAAACACAAAAGAAAAAAAAGTAGTTTGGGAAAGAAAAGGTGATCTATAGTTTCTATAGTTTATGTAAAATAAGCATATCATTTTGTTATAAATTGTTACTGAATTTTTTAACCTCCAAAAATAATAATAACTTAAATCCGCGATGGAGATTGGTTTGCCTTTTCGAGGAAATATATAGTAACTGGCACCAACGTAATATCAATGTGAGCTTTCTTTAAGCAAAGGTGTATATCCAGGTTGAATCTGAATAACATGCTGGCCTATTCCCACTATAGGCCCCCAAACCAGTGGGTATTCCACATGTAAATCCTTCACGTTCTATTTCATCCTTTTGACCGCGAGTCTTTATATCAACAAAGTCACCTGAGACCTCGGTGTCATCCTGAGATCAGTCCTTTTTCATCTTCTCGCTACGCTCAGAGGTCCCTGCGGCCGATCGACCCGGTCACGGCTGTTTCCTGTCCTGGCCCCACAGTGGTGGAATGAACTCCCCACTGACGTCAGGACAGCAGAGTCGCTGCCTATCTTTCATCAGGCTGAAGACTCACCTCTTCAAGAAGTACTACCCTGAGCCTTCACTCAGCACTTATTGTATTGTATTAGCACTTATTAGCATTTATTGTATCTGTATTAGTTTGTTGCACTTATTGTATTCATATTAGTTTGTTTCTGTACTCTTGCTCTGGTTTATGCTCTTACATGCTTGTGTAAACAAGGAGATGCACTCATGACTTCTGGTGACTCGTAGTTCTCTTGAACACCATGTTGAATACACTTATTGTAAGTGGCTTTGGATAAAAGCATCTGCTAAATGACTGTAATGTAATCTAATGCAGGCTAACTACCAATGGTAGCATAAGCTTAAACAAAATGTGTCTACAATCAAGACATATTGGAGCTTGTCACTATAGCCTGTAGCCAAGCTGTCCCTCTCAGGAGGGAACGGCGTGTTTCACCAGTCTGACAAGGGCCACCTAAATATCGTGAAGACAGCAATCGGTGAGATCGATTAACATTGTTTTCTATAACCGTTGTTCGTTTTCCACGGTTGGTAGAGCGCTTCCGCTCTAGCTTATCGAGTGACGCGCTGACGAGAGTGCAGAGTATACGCTGTCGGGCCGCCCTTCACAGTGAGCAGAGTGTCCTCGCTCAGGCTAACTTGGTGAAATGCTAGCTGGACAAAGCTGATACTGGGACTGTGTCCATTGACTTTGTAGCATTACAACTAACTCAGTTAGCAGAGTGTCCTCGCTCAGGCTAACTCGGTGAGATGCTAGTTAGACTAAATCGACATTGATATTGTGTCCATTTATGCTTTTATGCATTACGGCTGTCACAGTTGGCAGTGTCCTCGCTCAGGCTAACCTGGTGGGACGCAAACTAGACTAAGTTAATACTGGGATTGTGTCAGTGGCGGGCCGTGCATTTTATACCTGGGCCTTCAGTGCTGTCCTGCAGCTGAAACACCTCCTAATAACCTCATGATGGCGCCACAGCTACGGTTATTTGTTTCTAGGGGTGTAACAATAGACGTATTCGTATTAAAGCGTTCGGTACGAGGCTTGCAAACCAAATAATTTGAATAATACTAGTGCATTTGGAAAATTCAGAAGCTTAAATTGTGGGAAATATAATGTTTTCGGTGGACTGCGCTCACGTAGGAGACAACAGGCTGTGACCGCTGAACCCAAAACAATAACAAAAAACAGCTGAGGCCCTACACCCTAAAAAAAACAAACCAGTTGACTTACCAAATGCTGATCACTTAAAGACAAACTCCATCCTCCTTTCTTTGTTGACTAAGAGTTTAATCCCACAGTTAAATCCCAACTCACAAATCAGTTTCTCCTCCTTCAGTCATTGAGTGTTAAAAAAACAAAGCTAGGTAAAAAAATAAATAATCTACACCAAGCAAAATGCAAAAAATGTCATTTCTTCCATATCTTTCAATTTGAACTCTTACTACTCTGGCTAAGCTTTGCCAGCTTCCTTAAATTGTCCAATAA